CACACTACTAACCCTTTCTAGCACCTTTTTGTTTTTCTTAAAGAAATCCAGTCATTAATTCTTACTGTGTGATGTACCACGGAGGCAGTGTCCAAACTCAGACTTGGATCCATCTGTGTTTGTGACCTGGTCCATTCATGGTACATCAGTAGCAGAATGAACCTTTGGTTTGTGATTAAGTGTTGTAGTTATTTCATCAGTGATCTTTTGGCCACATCAAGGACTTGACGTGAGAAGTCATGATGACTCAGTTAATGGTTGACTTTTTTGTTGTTTTAGTTTGGAATGGAGGTCCACGGTAGTCCTGTTTTTGTGTGTTTTTTATAGGGTAGAAGGAATCTCCAGGGCGACGGCCAACTGCTGGCTGGCCTGGCAGCTTCCTTACATTTTGATATGTTTGGCCGGGATCTCTGTTCCTTTGTAGTTCCATGTTGATGTAAAATGTTCAAAATAAAGTGTTAAATTTGACTTGGTTGCACTGTCTTTACTTTACTTTACTGAGGAATTCACAAAGACAAAATGTTAACCTGTTTCTCCTCAAACTAAATGCTTAGACACTGACCTCAGTGTTGGTGACCTCAGCTGTTGTAGATGTAAACTGTTGATCTGAGTCTTGTGAGGTTTGGATAACTGAAACTTAAACCAAACCATCTATTTTTTCATGGCTCTTATTTCTACAGCTTAGATTTAAATTTCTGCTTGCCACGTGTTGGGATGAAACGGTCCTAAGGTTCTTTTTGTTTGCAGTTGCAGTTGCAGTTGCACTGTTATAGAACAGTGTGTTAAAATGTTTGCTGATGGGTGATTTATCTTGTTTTTGCCACTAGATGTCAGTGTATGGGTATTGTTGATTTAGACTGAGTCACTGTTTAGGATGTTGGTTTATTTTGTTGTTTTTTTTGGGGGGGCGGGGGAGTTAGGACTGGGGTAGTCCTGTGAGGTTTAGATAACAGAAACTTAAACCAAAGCATCTATTTTTTCATGGTTGTTATTTCTACAGCTTAGATTTAAGGTTATTCACATTTGTCATGATTTGAGATGATGCAGCGAGGGACCTTATGATTAATTTCCTATTTGGTCATGCTTTTGTCTGAAGATCTCATTGCGTAGGGACAGGCTATATTAGTACAGTACTATTGTTGGTTGATAAGTGAGTGTTAATACATGGACAACTTATGTGTTTTGAGTTTTGTTTCAGAATGGGGGGAAAAACATACTCCTGCTGCGGGTGCCCCATTCCACAGGAGTTGTTGGCGTTCCACAGTTTCTATTAGTGAAAGGTGAAAACCCTGAGTTCCATTAAAAGAAATTGGTTATTATAAATGTAATATAAATTCGTGCTGGGTCAGCCTGACAACAGTTTGACTGAAATATAAACAGTACTGTGTGGTGTCGATCATCCTGAGAATGCAGATTATCCATCAATCACCAAAATTGATACAAATAATAATGCACACCTTAGCATTTTTTTAAATCTTAAAATAAATACCTAAATTAAAATGAGCGCATACCTCGCCTAGCTGTGAGGTAATGCAACAAACGCGCACACAACGAGAGGAGAGCACAATAAACTGAGATCCTCTCGTCATTGGAGGACATACGCAAATCTGAAGTAAAAGCCGGACAACAAAAATGTTAGTGATCGAAATTAATCTCCGGCTTGCAAGTGAATTAGGTGTTTATGTATTTGTTGTTAATGATGTATATCATAGTCTTTGTAGTGTAAGACATGACTGGTTAAATTTTAATCATATTAAGAGTTACAATCAAATGTGTTTTTTGTTTTTGTTTTATTTAATAAATCCCACAAACGCGATGGGCATCCTTTAGCGCTGTATATGCTTGGACCTCCCAAAACAGCTTATTGGTAGCCATGATGATGAACACACCCAGCTCTGAGCACATTTCATCAGCATAGTAGGCATCCAATAACAATAAAAAAAAATACATATATAATCACTGTAGAGGCAGACAAGGTGGCAGGTAGTGGCAATGACAGTGGCATTGCACTGATGCTCCCGCTCTCTCTTTGTTTCTCTAGGTCTCTCTCTTTATCGTGCTGCATTTGGCCTTTGAACCCATTGTTGTGTCGCGGGTGACGTCAGTGCCGTGTGCGGGAGACGGAGCGGCGTGGCGTGTGCGCTTGGCGAGACAAAGGCGGCGGACCGACCCGGGGAGGCAGCAGCGGCAGCGGTGGCTCAGAGTACTGTTGTTTTGTATTGAACCACAGGGGAAACCGCTAACCCGGCTCTTCAGCTATGCCCTGCTGGAACAGCACCAAAATGAGGAGCCAGCGGTGACACTCCCGGCAGTTAGGACTGAGTCTCCGCACTGAGGGAAAACAACAACATTGCCTTGTTTTATAAGAAGCGTTTTCCTCCAAACGCCCCCTTGAGCTGGAGCTAGGTGGCTAACCCCGTTAGCTTATTTCAGAAACAGAAGCGGCAGCAGAAGCAGTGGTCTCCTCCTGCTCCTCCTCCTTCTGCTCCCTTCTGTCTGCTTCTCATCTTTCCCTCCAGAGCTGGACACCGGTGTAAGACAGGAGCTCTCCGGCACGCCAAGACAAAGTGAGTTTGAGATGTTTCGGCGCACGTTTAAATAGAAAAAGTAAAACCCCGCATCCCAGTGTATGTGATAGAGTGTAAGTTAGTGTGTGACAGCGAAGAGCTAACAGCTAGCCTCCGCTGTTCCCAAACAAAGGGTCGACAACGTGACTGCGAGTGTGCTCTTAGCTTGTTAGCTCTTATTTTAGCCGTTGAAGCGAACAGTACATTTGTGTTTGTACTTTGTTAAAGGCGCCGGTGAAAAAGGAAAAGCATGGGGAAAATGGCAGGTCGAAGACAGCGTGGCGTTTTTGATTGTTGTTGTCGGGGAAATTATTTGTGGAAGCGGATGTGCTTTATCCCGTGAAGAGCAGCAGCACTGGATCAGTTGTCAGACAAGAAGCAACAACAGACAAAGCAAGGCGCACAGACCAAGAGTCTGCTGGTGTTTATGAATGATCCGCGCTTCCACGCTGCTCAGCTCTATCCTCATTTTGTTGTTGTAGCTTAAACATTAACTGACTTTGTCTCTTGACATTTCAGAAGGAGCGCTCACTCCCAACACCCAGACATCCGAGATCTGATGTGAGGTCCACAGACAGACACTATGCCTAGTCCTTTATTTCACCCCGAGATTATGGACCACGACGCTGTAATCAGCAGCCAGCACAATGGGGTCGCTCTGGCCCGCGAGACGGAGCAGGAGTCCCGGGAAGAGGACCACCAAGAGGCGCTGCGTTTCGCCCTGGACCAGCTGTCACTCATGGCCCTGGAGAAAGTGGACTGTGGGGGCGGAGGAGGCGGCGGCGGCGGGCTCAGCGACTCCCTGGATGGGACGCAGGGTCCAGGTTCTGAGAGCTGCAACGGTGTGGGTGGAGGGGGCTACGTGGACCTACAGATGCTGGATCATCCTGGCGGGTCTCGGGACTCTCCCTCTTCCTGCTCTCCATCCCCGGAGTATTACGGCTCGGGCGGCTACCACATGAGCAACTCACACACCGTGCTCCACGGGGAACAAAGCTCCATCCTCTGCAGCAGGAAAAGAAGTGTGAACATGACAGAATGTGTACCTGTGCCCAGCTCCGAACATGTGGCCGAGATAGTGGGAAGACAAGGTAGGACCGCCAGCTGTTGTGTTTGTGTGCATGTTTGTTTGTGTGCGGTTCAGATGCGGTTTGTGGACAGCAGATTGTTCAGGCACCACGCAGGAGCCTGCTGCTTCTTTGTTTGGGTGGCTCCCGAAAGAGGAGGAGGAGGTGGGTCTGTGAACTTTGGTAGCAGCCCCAGCTCGATGCTCTGTCTCTTAGATGGATGTTCGCTCACTAGTTGTTGTTTAATGCTAACGCAGCACCGAAACGCCACATTTAATGTGTTTGTGCGTGATTTTTTGGCGTTATGAAGAGTGAGTGAGAGAGTGTGGATGTGGAGTGTAAGAGGGAGGGAGGGAGGGGGAGGGGTGGGACAGGGTCAGACAAAGCGGCAGATTGTCGGGAGTCTGGACATGTCTAGCAGCCTGCGCCGAACAAAGGAAGTGAACCAAAACACGCTGCTTTTTAAACATTTCATAGCAAAAGTAACAGCGCCGATTACACGCCTGACATTCAAGTGTAATATGTCCACGGGCCCCGGTCAGATTATTGTTGTTTTTGCAGAGCAGATTGAAGCTAGAACACAAACACAGGACTGGGCGGTGTTACGCCCTGCACCCAGCTCTGTCTGCTGCCGTTCGCCACAGAGCCGCAGCTTTTAACACACACACCTCACATTTGCAGCCTTATTGTGGTCTGCACGGGATTCACACTTTAATTAAAGGTCTGCCCTGGCTCCGCTTCGGCCGACTGTGGCGCGGCAGCGTTACGGCATTGTTCTCTTTGTTTGAAAAAGCCATGCTTTCTGCTTCCCAGAATGACATCACACTCCACGCGTCCCATTGGTCGCCGGGAATGAAGCGTCTGTATTTAAAGAAACAGTGCACACGCGCAGTCATCTGCTGCTGCTGCTGCTGTTGTTGTTGATTATGATGATGATGATGTTACTGAAGAGGTATAAGTTGATGCTGTGCCATCTGCACTCTCCACGTATAAGAGTCAGATCCTTAACTGGTTCCTATTGAAAAGAGTGATGCTTTGGAAAGTTCTGTTAAGGTTTCATCTAAAGGTTTTTGAAAAGATGACAAAAACAAATTGAGTGACTTTAAACTGCATAGTGAAGCATAAGTGTAGCATTACTGAACCCTATCACCTATCAGAAATTGCCTGTATAATTAGTAAATAAAAGCACGAAGCATTTTAATATTATCAGAATATTATTCTGTTTTATAAGAATGGAAAATGGCGGATAAAAAAAGTCTCAGATATGCAAAAGTATAGATGCACTTTAATTGTTAAAGGTAACACAAAAACAGGGTTCAGATAGTAGGGTGTTCTTTAAATTGACAATAAGAGCACGTACTGTATGACAAACGTGCATTTATATTCTTTCAAATTAGTACTTATGTAAATTGATGGCGACTGAGGAGGGGCGTCAGTTGACATTGATCAACGGCAACTGTTGATTTGGACCGATAGAAAGAGTAGACTGTGGATCTAGACTGACGGTCAAATGTGTTGTTGTTGGTTTTAGAGTATTCATTACCAGCTGTTTGGAACTGGTCAGACTTATACTCCAGCAATGCGATAAATACGTGTCGTTCGGTCTGTTTTATAGAGGTCTTGATTCAAGTTGTCATGTAAAGGCATGGTTTATCGTGCCATTAAACCTTGTTGTTTTATAGAGACATTGGCGTGTAATAGATTCTCCATCCAATTTACGCCAGTGACAGGACAACTAAATAGAAACAATTGGGTCATAAACTGCAGCATCCATAACAGTTGGAAAGTTGGAACAAAGCTTAATTTTATAAAAACAAACAGAACATTGCCTGTAGAAACGCATCTATTCTTCTTTGTTTTTAACGTTGTCACATACGTATTGTTTTGTCAGACATGGATTTGTGAGCGAGCGTGTCAGTGGGACTCTGTACCGAGTGAAATGAAACTGATGTTTATCTTTTTTTTCAGGTTGCAAGATCAAGGCCTTGCGTGCCAAAACAAACACTTACATAAAGACTCCAGTCAGAGGCGAGGAGCCCGTTTTCATTGTAACGGGACGCAAGGAGGATGTGGAGATGGCCAAACGTGAAATTGTCTCAGCGGCCGAGCATTTCTCCATGATCAGAGCATCGCGCTGCAAAGCCGGAGGACCAGGCGGAGGTGGGTCTCTACCGGGACCACCACACCTACCTGGACAAACCACCATACAGGTACGGAAACCTCTGAGCGTGGTATTACAACATTACGTTATGTGACATAAACCAGATTGTGTAGAATGTCATAAAAAAAAGAAATTGCACTGTGTTTTTGACACACGTACAGTTAAAATCTTAATTTGAGCTATATTAATACCAGATGACATTTGAAACTCGGTCTGTGTGCCGTAAAATCGTAGGGGTTGCTGAGTTTAAGGGTAATCTCGGCTCTTCAGTTTAACTCCTTATATGTTCTCAAGAGCTCTGCGTTATCGTTGCAGGTGCGAGTGCCGTACAGAGTGGTGGGTTTAGTCGTTGGACCGAAGGGTGCGACCATCAAGCGCATTCAGCAACAGACTCACACCTACATCGTGACACCCAGTCGAGAGAAGGACCCCGTGTTCGAAGTGACCGGGATGCCGGAGAACGTGGACAGAGCCAGAGAGGAGATCGAGACCCACATCACCCTACGAACCGGAACGTTTGTAGACCTGCAGGGAGACAATGACTTTCACAGCAACGGCACTGATGTCAGTCTGGAAGGTTTGGGTGCTCTCAGTGGGGGACTGGGGGCATCTCTGTGGTCCAGAGCCAACAACCACCATTCTGCCCCTCCGCCTCCACCTCCCTCCTCTCCTCCCTCTCTTACCATGTCCGTGCAGCACTCCTCTAACAGGAAAATGTCTTCGTCGGTCGCCTACCACACGCACAACGGCGGTATGAGCTCAGACAGCTTCAACGGCGGCACCCGGAAAGTCAACGAGGGAGGGAGTCCCACCAGCCCCTTTAGCACAGGCTCCAGCAGCGGTGCCGGAGGAGGATTCACTTTCGGAGGCGATTCCACCCCGGGACTGCCCTCCTCAGAGGAACTGGGCTTTGAGTTCAGCGCTTCCAACATATGGGCGCCTTTCGTCAACGGCGGCACGGGCAATAAGTCAGCGGGGTCAACGCAGGCCACGCGGCGCAACAGCAGCGGCCTCAGCGGTGGCGCCGTCACTCCGCGGTTGTCTCCAACTCTGCCTCAGGACACGTGCGTGGGCCCCATGGATCACCCGCTCGCCCGCCGCGCACAAAGCGACCCCCTCAGCACTCTCTCCTGGCTCCAGTCCAGTGGCACCGGAGGCGGCTCCTTCTCCGGAGCATCCAGCTCGAGCTCAGGCGGCTCCTCCACCGGGTACTCCTCATGTTCGGCCTCCTCCCTGCCCGGCGGTTCCCCGACTGACTCGGAGGGAGGCGTGGGCCTCAGCTCCGGGATACTGAGTCGTCTGAAGAGCGGCTCCGGCAACGGGGTCGCGGGTGTGGTCGGCGTGGGTCCCGGGGTCAACAGGGACTGCTTTGTGTGTTTTGAGAGCGAGGTGACGGCAGCGCTGGTGCCCTGCGGTCACAACCTGTTCTGCATGGAGTGCGCAGGGCAAATCTGCCAGTCGGCTGAGGCCGAGTGCCCCGTCTGCCACACACCCACCACACAGTGCATACGCATCTTCTCTTAATGCTGCACATGTGGCGCTACGGAGAGAGGAAGATGAGCGGGCAGGGACAGTGGAAGGATTGGTCATAAACACAATGGACAATAATGAATACAGTAATGTAGAAGACAATAATATAAGGATGTTGATTTAAGATGACTAAAAAGAACAGTAATAACGACTGACTTATTTTCAGAGCGAAGTTAATCGAAACCGCTC